ATAGATTTCCACGTCACCCATGAGGTACTATTGCTATTCAGGAAAAAAATGTTTTTAATAAATTTTTTTAACATTAATCGGATAGCGCCGCTCCTAACGCTCGGCGGCGCTGGTCCTAGCGGCTATCGCGCGCGCGAAGAGTGAAGAGAGGAAAGGAGGCGTATACCACGAGAATCGGCTGAAAAGATGAAATAATTCCGAGGCCTGTTCTAGAATGATCTTTAGGGATTAATTTCATTACTAGAAATTTTCTATTACAGTGACTAATACTTCACCCATTTTTTATTACAGTAAGAAATAAATTATACAAATTTAATATCGAACATATTTGTTGTTATTGTAAACTTCCAAGTTCTTTTTCTCATTCTTTATTGAACTATTTATGCAATGGTTCCAATAATGTCTCTGCCTTCTGAGGTGATTAATATCATCTTATGTAAAGAGAACGTCAGCATTAAAGATATTGTGAGTTTCGCTTGCACATGCAAGAGGTTTAACAAGATAATCAATGACAATGTTCTTTGGCGAAAGAAATTTTATCAGAGGTATTTTTTCACGTTTATTTTTGTGCACAATAGCGTTATTTATTATATTCATGATGTAAATTTAGTGATAAACGAATTATCTTATTTCATTTGCCGTAAACAAATTTTTTTATTTAATTTAAAATTTGACATATATAGTAACTTTGTTTTAAAATTTTCATTTTTGTTACAATGATTTCATCGAACTTGTATAAATTTAGAAAATTATATAAAAAATTATGTAAAGAAACTGTAAGATATGTAAAATTGTGTAACTTTGAAAAATGTATTTTTTATTTTAATTTTAGATGGTCTTTTTTAAGGGAAGAATATGATGAACTATCGTGGAAGGAAAATCTTGATTTTCTAGAACAAGTAAAAGCAGGTATAAGTTTTAAGAAACAATTATGGCATTTCATGTCGCTAAAGTCTAAGCAGATTAACAATCGTTGTGTTGACTTGAAGGATTTGCATTCACTGTTTGATCCAGATAATGGTGCATATTTTATGAAATATTATTTCTTTGTAAATGAGCTAAAGTTGCTTTTACAATCAAAGTAAGTTTTAACAAATTGTTAATTTAGCAGATTATAATACATTTATATAAATATATATTTATATATAGCATATTTAATTCAATTAATATTAGAATTTAAATATTAAATATAAAATATGTTCTATAGGAAAAATATGACTTATACGATATCCAATGTACCACAAAGACATTTTTTAAAGGAGTTTCTTCTCAACCTGCACTTTTATCATTTAAGAAACAAGTGGCACAAATTTATAAATTATCCTGAGGAACAACAGATTTTAGAAGAGGCAGCTGTCATTTTGGCACAGTGGTATCATTTTCAAAGCTATGTGTCTTACATGTATGTGAAACCGTCACTGGATAGTATTGTGCAGCGGGTATTGGAGTACCTTATTAACAAATATCCTGCGCATCCAATATCTTCAATATCCGCTGAGAAGTTTTCCTTTTGGAAATACAATAATATTGATGACAGTCATTGGAATGGGATAGAAACAAGACAGATTTTAGAGAGTCTATGTAAAGTTTTACATAATGAATTAGGTTTTCAAGGAATTTTTGGGAAATGTTTGGGGCCTGAGGCAAGATTTATTTTAGAATACTCTTTTATAGATTACATAAGTTATAAATTATAATACATTATGAATACTTAATGCTATAAGCACAGTCCTATGTTTGTTATGTCTTAATATTAATATATTTTAAACAGGTTATAAAAAATAAATTTTGTTTTGGACTACCTCTGGGAATAATATATAACAGTGTGGCGAGGAGACTCGGTGTGCGCTGTGATTTAGTATCTTCTCCATTTCGCTTTTTATACTGGAGAAAGGAATAGTAAGTATAATTTTATCGCTAATCTAAATTTTCATTCTTATATATATATATTTCTTTTTATTTTACAGTGATATTGCAAATTTGGGAGATAAACATTTTTATATTGATATCCTATGCTGTGATTCTTCTTTGACTCCAAGCTGTAGTTATGACGATATGATTATTAATCTTACAGAAATAATGCCTACAGTATTGAGATTATTGCATAATGAGTTTGATGGGCATAAAGAGATACGTTTAGATGAATTTGCTTTTTACGAATCTGTCAGAGTAGACTTATTACCTAAAAGTAGTTGGTGACGCTAGCTAATATGTGCCACATCAATATGGAACATGTTTCATTAGTAATAGAAAAATGTAGTAAAATAAATTTGCAATCTTAGCTTTCATTATGTCATTATGTCATAATCTTTATTTCTAGATGATGGCACAAATAAGTAATTATTATAATGTATCCGTGAGTATGGACTTTGAAGCAATAAAAACCGAAAGTACACACAGGAATGAAAGTAAAATAGTAATGGAACTGTCATTTCTGGAATTAAGGTTCTTAAACAAATCAGATAGAAACGCGATTAATGATCTGGATTGCATATATGTACGACAGCAGGCGAATTTATCCAACCTTGTATTGATAAATATGTGTAAATAAATGTGTGCATACATACACACACACACACACACACGCGTCAATTTATAAGTTTCATTATATGAATGGAATAAAACGTAAATAAAAAAATTTTTTTTACTAAAATTTTTATTTTTTTAACGTTGTTTCTTATACTATGCGGCAAAAAATTTATATCATAATGAATATTATAGCATTTTCGATTAAAGCGTCTTGGACCCCAATATTCATTGCATTGTCTCCGTCAATAAAAGACTTGAATTTATATAGTGTTTTTGATCGTATGGATTTTGATCGATTCAAGGTTGATTAATCGCTATTTTACTATGAATTTAAGTTCTATTGGTGAAGATAATGCAATGACGTCATTAATCAATCTTGAATCAATCGAAAACGCTAATAGTAAAATAGTGATTAATTGATCGAGAATAGATCAAATATGCTTCATTCGAACATACACACCTACACGATACATGCAGCACACACACGCACGCACATACACGCATACGCACGCACACGCATGCGCACCCGCTCCGTACTCCGTACCCGCCATATTCAAATAAAAATTATTTATCTTGCGTTTTAAACAAAAACAAATGTTGGAATTATAAATTTAACCGATTATTAATAATGTACAAACGACGTACAAACGATTAAGCACGATAAATTCATAAGTTATAGTTTACGTGATGTAATTGCGACATAGGGGGGGCTAACTATCATTGGCACAGTTACGAAAACTTTGTAATTTTTTTTTAAATTAACGAAAAATGTACAAACGATAAAAATCATAGTACATTCATGTACAAACAATGTACAATCCGAATATATAAATGTTTTTACGATTTGCGTT